CGCAATCATCAATCAATTACCATCTCTATATACATCCGTTTTACTTTTCTCAATATAAATAGCCATATATGACTGTTCAAACACTATATCCGATACCTTTATGCACTGCGCAAACAACCTGCATAAGCGAAAATAATAGCACATATGATTCTTTGATTTTTTCTTTGGTCTCAAAGTCGGTATAGTTAAATGAAATATGGCGGCAATACTTGAAAAAGTCGAAATATGTAAATGTATATTTTGACCATGGACGGAAACTTCGCGTACATAGGTTCTGTACCGCGGTAAATCTACTTGACGCTGCATCATAACATAACGGTATATCGCTATATATCGTTGCACATCTTAATTTGTCCCACTAGTGTCAGGCATGCATTTAATGTATGACAGTAAATGTTGTAGCCTAGACATTTTTATTTTGTATAATATATGCATACCTATTGTTTATATGTTTATGAATGAATAAAAAATTGTTTACTTAAAAGTGAGTTGATTTGGTTTTGCTTTATTACTCCAAATACTCCCAATAAAAATCCTTATGTATATGAATATATAGTCATCAGTCACAAGGTATAATCACACATGTACAAACCTGAATTTCAGTCACGTATGCGTGTCATATGTTCATGTATATATTTGATATTGTCCGTACTCTCATTTCTAAACAATTAGCTCAGTATACCCCCAGCTTTGCTCTAAAATACAATTCCGTATATCCCCTTTATATATCAAAAATACGATTCCGTATATCCTCTGTATATGTAGAAAATACAAACCTGTATATCTCAAAAGTACGTTTCCGTATATCCACTGTATATCTATAGTATTCTAGAGAAAATGGCCTTGATAAAGTCCGTATACAGGATTTTTTTTATCTCTTTATACAACAAAATACGAAGAAATATACGTACATGTATATGGAATAAAAACGGAATCCCATACATGCCTGGTCCAAATACGGACTTCCCGTATACCCAGTGTTCCCTATACGAACTCGTATACTTGGTCCGTATATAAGACAAATACATCCCGTACACGCCCGTATATGTTAAAAATACGGGAGTGTATATTTTTGTATATCAGTGTTTTTTTCACAGTGTAAACCGATACCAAGCCATGTCTTCAAATCTAGTTCAAAACCAATTTAAAAAGGAATACAAGCAGTAAAATTGTGCATAATTTTCTCATTCCCCTTTACTATAGTTTTAATCTCAAAAATACTTAGTAGACCAGTCGTTCGAAACGCGGGTTTGTAGTAAAGCAAATTTCCAGCTGAAAATTTGGCGTGAAGCATTTTCGATTTATATCATTTTAAAACAGCAATAAAATGATACAAATTGGGAATGCTCCACACCAAATAACATTTACCCTCAGCTGAAATTTTGCATCCGATCAAATCCACAGTTCGAATGTTAGAGCAAAAACAAATTTTACAGATTGAATTTCTAGTACCGGGGAAAGAGAATGGTGTGCAGTTTGCACTGGTTCAATTTTTTTAAATTGGTTTTGCAATAGGAGAAGTAGCTTGGAAAATATGAATTGGTATTGGTTTGTTTATGAGTGCCGACATTCAACACAATATCATCTCAGATATCATAAGTCACGCGGTATGGTCACTCATATATATCTATTAATTTTGTCAATATTAGAAACACCTATAAAAGTGTGCCCATTGAGTTCAATGTAAACAGTGTCCAAACAGAATAAATATTTCTGAAGAAAGTAGTTTGGTAACATAACATATTTTGGGCTTCATAGACTCAGATGGTTCTGATGTTTAAAGTTGAAGACAGTATATAATTGTTGTAGGATAGTGGAGTCCAGAATAAGGCCTCAACCAACTGTGACTGATTTACCACAGAACATAGAGTACAAAATTCGACTAGGCCGATACCAGAAATCTTTACGATACCAAAAACATAGTTCAAAATATGCAAAAATTGCCCTTACTGTATCAGTCACACAGTAGAAATATGGAGATAAATATTGCAAAATCAGTCATTAATCACAAATAACATGTAAATTATTACTTGTATCTTGAATCTCTCTACTTTTTTAAAATTGTAGTATCTTTTCTCAAGTTTGATTTTCTTGAAATATTTAGACTCATCGGGAGGCGCGTAGCTTTAATACAAAAGCATTTACAGACTGTTGATTGTTTTGACAAAGATGATAGAAATCCATGGGTCAATATTAATTCTAATTGGTTCAACCAAAATTCACCTTATTCAGGCAAATTTATGCACGAGAAAGGATTTAATTGTTCCGTGTGTCGGTATGAAACAAGCGACCACAGTTAACGACATCAAAGAAACTTTAAAACAAATACAACATACAATACACATAGTTAGGTTAATTTTTAAAATTTAAATCATATTTATTGTAGACGAATATTTTATGTCTAGAGAGACACGTCAAACAAAACAAAAGTATGTTCCGTTGAAGTATTGCAATCGGATATTTACAATTCCGCAAGGGTTGTGTGCAAATAGGTTGACTGGCTATCGATTTCCCATATTCGAATAACACATATCAAATGGTTGACCTTGTTTACCCAAAATACACATGGTAATTTTGTAATAATGGTTGTGAACAGTTGACAATGAAAAGAAAAGGGGGAACTAAATTATAAAAAAATGGACAAGACCATTGAATTTCAAGGCTAGAATTTTAAAAAATGTATATTTTACGATTCGTAATAGATTTCCTATATTGGAATAACACATAGCAAATGGTTGACCTTGTTTACCCAAAATACACACATGGTAATTTTTTTATAATTGTTGTGAACAGTTGACAATGAAACGAAAAGGGGGAACTAAATTATAAAAACTGGACAAGACCATTGAATTTCAATGCTAGAATTTTAAAAAAAATGTATATTTTACGATTCGTAATAACGGCTTAACATCGCGATTAATGCAATTAACAAATTACCTTTTTAACCAAACAACAATGGCTGCAAGGAAAGAAAATCTATTTTTAATAATAAAATGGTATTATATTATAGAATAAGAAGTTTAAAAAATATGGACACGTTGTCAAAATCTATAGCTCATGACATAGTAGCGTATGCCGATTTTGCATTAGCTTTGCACAAGTGAAATATTGGAAGAAGTGTAATACATATATATTATGCTTAAGATAAACGACTATATGTGGTTATAATACATTATTAAGTACAATACTGAATTATTTTGGAGGATTACACAGCTGTCAAAGCTATATTCGACAAGGCGCAAGAAAAAGGTTTTGCAGCTGTGCACGAGTCCATTAGAAACTGTTTTGTTCTTAAAAATACTTAAAGTCCTCTTTTTCTCACCACTAATTTTGAGTTCAAGTACAACGAGGATCTCATATGAAAGTTTAGACTCTGATAATGACTATGAGTCTAGATGGAGTACGATATACATTTGATATAGATATTTTGGACTTTAAAAATGAAAATGAGGCTGTATGGGGTGAAATATTCATTTGATGAAATATTTTGGGCTTTTGAAAATGAACACAAAGGTAATATGTGGTAAGATAAGTATATGATATATATATATATATATTGGACTCTGGCAATGGAAACAAAGCTAAATTGATCAGATTTGATCCAATAATGATTTCGATTAGACAATAAAACGTGCGTCAAACGCTGAAGGTTTATTGGTAACATTTTAAAAGGTGTTAAATAACTTTATCACATAAACTGCGGCGCAGGAGTGTAATGAAGCCATTTAATAATCAAAGCACAGATAGGCGCTGAATTTGTTTGGGTCTCAGAATGGATTTGAACTCCAGACCTCTCGCTTACTAACCGAGCGTCTAACCCCCCGACTACGGTGAAGTTTTAGGATAACAGCTTGAAGAAAACCAAGGGTTTGTAACCCTTATTAATTTCACGATAAACCTGTTGTTTAACACTGATGTAAATAATCATGGAGCTTAATATAGGTTATATAGGCATGTTAATCTGTAAAGAATAACACAATATTAGAAATCTTCGACCAATCGGGAATATTTTTTCTTCCCCGAGAATTAATGCGCCTGTCATTTGACAATCTTTACGCAGTGATTTCTACTTAATTTGTCGGCGTTAGTGTACTTATAAAGAGAAGTCACCGCTTCGAGGAGTTTGGACTACTTTTGGTATTTGCAAATAAGCAAATAAGGGTCTGAAATTTCGCTACCATCATTTGTTTGGTCTGACGACCCAAACAAATAAAAACGATACTACACTAGTGTATTAACACTTTGACGTGACGTCATTTGCGCTATATATATATACACAGCGTAAAAGCGTTAGCGTTACACTATAGGCGCGTCAATGAAAAATGACTCGTTTTAACTGTAAACCGTTCTCTTTTTGAATATGTGATAAATAGAATATTATATTCGTGTAGATTCAATACTAAATTTATTGACTTCGTTGAATAAAACAATATTTATAATCAATAATATGATTTTATTCAACTCGTTCCATAATTTTAGTATTAAAGCTACACTCATTCAATATCCTCTATGTATTTATCTAATGTTCAAACTACACTTTACAAAGACTATTCTTTATCTATGCTTTGTCTAGTGTCGTTTTAAACATTATAAAATATAATGTTCAATATCTTTTATATTTTAATCATAATTAGGTTTGCAAAAATATAGCAATACCGATATTTGATATTCATTGGTACAAAATGTCATTGAATAACCTTTGTTGATCAAATATCGGAAATATAACGCTTAAGTAAGAAATATTAATTTTGAATTCTATAGGAAAATTTAAATAGGTAGATTTTATATTTGCATATACGGAGTATAAACATCGAATATTCTTTTGGTAAAGTTAAAGTTTATATGTTGTTTTGTTTTACATATCTTGGACAGAAATCACCTTTAACATATTTTGCTTTCATTTAATATATTAAAACTTGAAGTTCAAAACATAAGCAAATATTTATGATATACTCCGTTTAAAACGTTATTAACGTTTGGTTCTTTCATATACATTAGACAGATTGGCAATGGCAGATGAAAATGAGAGGAATGGCATCGCAACATTTTTTAGGTATGCTCAAAATGGGCATTTCAACAAATGTGAAAGCCTCCTAAACAAGAATCCGAACTTGTTAATTGAAAAGAACAGAAAACGCGAAGAAACACTTCTACATGTGGTAGCAAGATATTTGGAGGACGAAAGGATTGTTCGTATGCTACTTTGCCGCCAAGAAGTAGACGTAAATGCACGTGATTATTGGGGTCAGACACCACTGCATCTTGCCACCCGTGTACGAAACATATCCTTAATAACATGTCTACTAAAATCAAGAAAAATAGATGTCAACATCAAGGATGCAAATGGTTACAATCCTCTACATGTGCTCGTACTTTCAAAACATGAGCTGGATGAGAGCTTCTATGATACTGATGAAATCAGTGACAGCTGGAAAGAAGGAATTCAGCTTCTTGTTGACGCAAATGTAGACATTAATTCAAGAACAAATAATGGGCAAAACATCCTGCATCTTGCTGCATCTAAAACTTGTGCAGAAAGATTTGTCGTGTATATTCTTCAACATTATTCTGTTGTAGAATGGTCAGCGACGAACGCGTCAGGGGAGAATTTTCTACATGTTTTGTTTGGTAACATAAGCGACGAGTATGAAGTTTTGGAGAATATTTTACCAAACCTCGGCACATACTTAGGTAATAAAACAGTTTTAAAGAACATGCTTAACCAGAAAGACGTTCTTGGAGTACCACCGTGGTTTACTTTGATTCATACTCTAAAGTACTTTATTGAAAAAGATACTGATTGCCTGGAAACGATTTTCACACAATACAAAGCTTCTATTAATGCAACAGATAATTTGGGAAACACAATTCTTCATAGACTTGTTGGAAGTTTCGGCGCCAGTTTGGTTTGCAAAACTATTATCTCTCTGCTCAAACATAATCTTGACGTTAACGCAAGGAATGTTTTTGGCGAGGCAGCTATTTCTGAATTACATATGGACGCAGTGTTTGAAATACTTAAGCTGCAAAATTGTGACTTTAAAAGTAGGAACAGATGGGGAAGAATCCCATTTCAGTGTATTATTAATCTACATCCTATGCCAAATTTCATTGAAAGAATGTTAAGAGAGAACTGTTTTGAGCTGGATTCTCAAGATATTTATGGATCTACAGCTTTGCATTTTGCTGCGTACAATGGCTATGAAGAGCAAGTCGAGCTGCTTTTAAAATACGGTGCAAACGTAGACTTGGTTGATAGCTTGAATGATACACCCTTTGAAACCGCAAAACGTCATGGAAATTTCAAATGCATGAAACTTATTTTCGATACTGCAAACCTATATGAAAGAGAAAAGAAGGAGACTTTTCAACTTTATAAAGCCTCGGAAGAAATTACCCTCACAACATTGTTAAAAAATCAAAATTTAAGAGGAAACTTGCAAAATTTTCCTAAAGATTTTAAACAATATTGCGAATATTTGCTTAAAGCCAGGCGCACATACACACTTGCTAGGCCGTCTGAGGAACATGCACAGGACAACGACGTCATTACCGCAGTTCGGCACCATATCGAACAAATTTGTCAATATGTCAACGAGTACGATTCTAGGTTTCAAATGACCATATTTCCTACAGGAAGTACAGTAGAAGGCACGAAGGTTGGCCGTCCTGATGAATTCGACTTCGTTTTATGCCTCCAAAGACTAAGCAGATATTGTGTGATTCAATCAACAGAGCCATATCACCCAGGGTATGCTCTTTTGAAATTCAAAAATAAACCAGTTCCAGAAGGATTTTTGTCATTCTCTGATTCAGAAGGGTACTTCCAAGCTCTTCCTTTTCTGAATTACCTCTTCAAATACATAAAGAGAGCCCTGAAGGAGAGGAAATTGTGGGAAAAGGGAAATCTTTATTACCGGTATGAGGATAACCTACATGTTATTTCAGGAAAACCGGTGTTCAACTTTCAAATATATTGGATAGGATCAAAGCACAAGCAGATAGCTCTCAGCATAGATCTTGTTCCTGGTGTCTACAAGCGAGGATGGTGGCCGAAGAAAGCCTGTCCGGAGACTATGAAACTTGTCTCTGACCGCGTAATAGATGAGGGATGCTTCTTACTGCTACAAACCAAGAACAATGATTTTAACGATAAGTGGTATTACATGAATGATGTCATAAATGACAGTGTTGGTAGCACGCAAGACGTATGTCAGGATACTCATGGAAACAAGATGTTACGCGTTTCAGTTGCACCTGCCGAAATTTCTCTGATGAAATCTCTACCAGAGATTTACCGCCGAGCCTATGCACTTGCAAAGATTGTGAAAAGTCCCGAAATTTGTCCCTCTGTCCACATCGACAGGCCTCCATTGTCAAACAAATACAAGTAGTTTGAAAAGGCCAAAAATCAGAGAGTGCATCCATCCAATGACATAAAAAGTTACTGGCTGAAGAATTGCACATTTCTCGTGGCTGACGACTTGGGATTTGATATTTCCGAAACAACAACTCCTTTGGAAATTACTACTTTGATATACAAAAAGTTAGCTGAATTGTCAAAGGCATGGTCTCTGAAACCTTATTTGTTACCACACGTACATCTGCTAGAGTATGGCCCAGAGGTTAGCTATTCAATAAGGTCAAAATACACCATACTGTTAAAGCGTAAGGTCTGTCTAGATGTTGTCCTGGGAATACTAGGTGAACCATTACCGCAACAAGAAAATGATTATGGAAAATGGGTTGACGAGAGTTTACAGCTAGAAGAAAGAATTAAACAATTTCGTCTTTAAAGCCCCATTTCCAATTGGTTATTTTCATTTAGAGTGAAATAATGTTTGTTTCCCAAAATTTGACTTAGAAACTAAAACATTTGTATATGAAGATTGACATACAAATGATCGAGTGACAATCGATTGATAAATAGAAGAAAACCCTTTTTAGTAAGATTTACAAATATCGTCTGCCTACAATGCCAATAGGGTTATGAATTTATTTATTTGGGATTTAGCAAAGATGCATAAAAATGTCACTTGTTTTTAAATCCCTCTTTAGTAATATAAGAATATTTTGTTTTTCTAACAGTTAATTACTACAGTGCCTCAGCACATGGTGAATGCAATCGAAGGTAAAATGTAAATAAACATTTGTATGCACGCCTTTTTTTCGTAATTGTAATTTTGATTTCAATCAAATGAATCCTTTTTTAAATGCCTTGAACGAAATGTATTTTTTTATTTACCGTGCATAATTTATAAAAATGTCACTATGGCAACATGACATGTAAACAGTGGTTTCATTTTATTAGTTCTCTGAAAACATCTGAAATAATTTGTTTGCGTTTTGATATTTAGAAGTTAAAGTTTAATGCTCAGTTAAAAGATTTCTTTAACTGAGCAGGGAGAACATAGACTCATTTTTAAGGTGTTGCTACTTAATACATTTTTGAAATAATTATAACAGACAAAGACATCGTATACAATCATCTTTACTAATAAATATTAGCCAATAAATCAGACCATTACTAAATAAATAATAATTCGTAGATTTCTGTACATTTTATGCAATTAATCAGAAGTAAATGACACACTAATGTAAAGAACCATAACAAGTAAACATACAGTAAATTGTTAAAATTTCAACATATTTTGATGTTTTTCTTGTTAGAAAAACAGCCAAGCTTTTATTTCACTTGGTACAAAAAATCTCAAGTTTTCTAAATGTAGCGTCAAAACTGGAAAAAAGACAATATTGTTACATTTGTCAGGCGTTGAAAGATTATAGTCCGAGCACGATAAACAAAAATTTCTTCAGTTTTAAAAATACAACATGTAATAGAAAAAGCATCGAAACACGAGGCTATCTGATTTGTACGAGGGGGCGTAGATTAACAAGTGTTTTGATGATCTTTCTCTTTTGTATCATAGTCAAACATAAAAACACGTTCCCTGTTGACACAATATGAGAGACCCCAGAGAACAGTTACCTATGAACGAGCATCTAAATATGATATTCCGGTCGATTTCACTTTCTCTGCCGTCACAACAAGTAAACCCCAGCAAAAATGAGCCAATCAATGGGCATGCTCTGGAGTGCAGGTAACTAATACCCTGTTAACGCACGATGCATGTATATGTATACGATTTAACTCGGACACATTTTCAACAGAAAGGTCCCTAAACTTTGAAACTATAAATGATAA